TAGTGCAAAGGGTACAGTTCAGTGGAGGGGCACTTGCCTTGCATGAGTGGAGTGTCAGGTCTACCAATCCCTGGAAAAAAGAACACATAAAAAATAAAAGAGAAGAAACAAAGCTGTTAATTAAAGATAGTTACTGAACCCACTACTGCAGAAGATACAGAAACTCAGTATACCCCTGGAGATAATTACAAGATCAAAGTAGCACAGACTAGATATCATCTCTTAAACTGAATAATAGGAAAATATGGAGAACAACGTAAGTTAAAATCTTGGGTGGGAAAATAATGTATAAGTGACTTAACATTTTATTTTTAGTCACAAAAAACTCTTCTCAGTGATACAATCATACAGTAATATGGTTTTTATTAAGTCTAATGCATTTATTAACATATTAAACCTTCACTATATGTTATTACACAGACACTAAACATAGTGATTTAAAACTCTTTTCATGTATAGGATTTCAGAAGTAAAAATTAATAAATGGAGTATTTTGGAATAAAATTTTCCTACACTTAATTTCTTAAATACTTCTGAATTCTGCAGTATTAAGAAAAAAACAAGAACAAATATAAATGCAGCAGGAAATATACTACACATTTGAATAGACCCATCAGATGGAGAACGCCAACAGTTTGCCCTAATGTTAACTGCCAACGTTAGATGATAACGTAACGAAGGACCACTGTAAGTCATCATCTGTAACAAGGCTACTCCTCTAGGGGCGGGCACTGGCCATGGAGGGAAGCAAAACACTTTGTGTGAGAGGGACATGATCAATCAAAGCTCTCTGGATCCTCCTTTCAACTTTGCTGTGAACCTAAGCCAGACATAAAAAACAAAGTTCTTAGTGAAAAGGGTACAGCTCTGTGGTAGAGCACTTGCCTGACTTGAGTGGAGTCTCGGGTTGAGTGGCAACCACTGCAAAAAGGAAGACAATGAAACAGAAAAAAAAAAAAAGAGAATAAACAAAGAAACAAAGAAAAAAGGTATTATATAAAGTAAGTTAATGAATCTACTATTACCATGATACAGAAATTTAGTATACAATTGGAGATAATTCAAAAACATAGTAACAGTGTATAGATATCATCTCTTAAACCAAAGAGCAGGACCTTACACAGAATAATATAAATTACATACTTTAGTGGAAAAATAAACATTAATAAGTGACTTAAAATTTTATTTTTAATCACAAAAATCACTTTTCAGTAATACAACCATGTAGTAATATTCTTTTACTAAATCTAACACATTTACTTAAAAAATTAAAAGTTTACTCTAATGTTAGTACACACAAAGTAACCATACTAATTTAAAACTATTTTTCATGTATAGGATTTCAGAAGTAGAAATTAAAGAAGTGTAACATTTGGATTTAAAATTTCCTATAATCATCTCCTAAATTCTTCTGAATATGGAGTATTAACAAACAATTAAGAACAAACATAAATGCAACAGTAAATACTCTACACATTTGAATAGACCCATCAGATGGAGAACACTAACAGTGAACCCTAACATTAACTGCAGATTCAGATTTTAAGGATAAGGGTAGACTCGTGGTTAAGTCATCGTCTATCACAAGTGTACTACTCTAGGGGAGCGCACTGGCCATGGAAGGAGGCAACCTATGTGTGAGAGGCACATGATCAACTGCAAATCTCTGGAGCTTCCTTTCAATTTTGCAGTGAACTTAAACCTGATAGAAAAAAGCAAACTTCTTAGTGTAAAGGATACACCTCAGTGATAGCGCACTTGCCTGGCCTGAATGGAGCCACAGGAAAAGGTTGAGGCTCTGCAAAAGGGAAGACAAAAGAAAACAACACAGGAAAAAGCTGTTAATTAAATGTAGTTACCGAAACTACTACTACCATGTTACAGAAACTCAGTATATACCTGGAGATAATTACAAGGTCAAAGTAGCACAGAATAGGTATCATCTCCTAAACCAAAGAATAGGAAAATATATAGAACAATATAAGTCACATACTTAGGCAAGAAAATAATTGATAGGTGACTTAACATTTTATTTTTATTCACAACAATCACTTCTTAGTGATACAATCATGTAGTAAAATGGTTTTACTAGGTCTAATGCATTTATTAAAATATTAAAACTTCACTATAATGTTAGTGCACAGATACTAGACAGACTGATTTAAAACACCTTTTCATGTACAGGATTACAGAAGTTAAAATTCAATAAAAGGCATATTTTAAATTATAATTTCCTACACTTCATGTCTTAAATACTTATGAATTGTGGAATTTAACACAAAATTAAGAACAAATATAAATGCAACAGCAAATACACTACACATTTGAACAGATCCATCAGATGGAGAACACTAACAGTGAACCTTAGTGTTAATTGCAGACTTTGGATGGCAACGATGGACCAGGGTAAGTCATCATCTATAAGGAGTGTACTACTCGAAGGGAGCACACTGCCTGTGAAGGGAGGGAATCCATCTGTGAGAGGCACATGATCAACCGAAATGTCTGGATCTTCCTCTCAACTTTTCTTTGAACTTAATCCTAATTTAAAAAACAAAGTTCTTAGTGCAAAGGACACAGCTCAGTTGTAGAGAACTTGCCTGGCAAGGATGGAGTCCCAGGTAAGGTTATATCTGCAAAAATGAAAAGCAAAAACATTAAGAAAGAAAGAAAGAAAGAAAGAAAGAAAGAAAGAAAGAAAGAAAGAAAGAAAGACAGAGAGAGAAAGAGAGAAAGAGAGAAAGAGAGAAAGAAAGACAAAAAACTGTTAATTACAGGTAGTTACTGAATCCACTACTACCATGTTACAGAAACTCAGTATACAATTAGAGATGATTCCAAAATCAAACTAGCACAGTACAGGTAACGTCTCATAAATGAGTAGGAAAATATGGAGAACAATATAAGTTATAAACTTGGGTGAAAAAATAACTGAGAAGTGACTTAACACTTTTTTTAGTAACAAAAATCACTTCTGATACAACTGTGTAATAATACGCTTTCACAAAGATTAATGCATTTATTAATATATTAACACTTTGCTAAAATATTAGTACATAGAAAGTAGCCATACGGATTTGTAACTCTTTTTCATGTTTAGGATTTCAGAAGTAAAACTTAAATAAATGGAGTATTTCAGATAAAAATTTTCTATACTGCATTTCTTAAATACTTCTGAATTTTGCACTATTAAAAAATTAAGAACAAACATAAGTTCAACACTAAATGCACTACACAGTTGAGTAGACCCATCAGATGGAGAACACTAACAGTGAAACTAATATTACCTGCAGATTTGGATTATAATAATGGACCGGTTTAAGTCACTGTCTATAACAAGTGTTCTAGTCTAAGGGATGGCACTGGCCATAGAGGGAGGCAACTTATGTGTGAGAGGCACATGATCAACTGCAAATCTCTGGATCTTCCTTTCAATTTTGCTGTGAACTTAAGCCTAAAATTTAAAAAAAACAGTTTATAGTGCAAAGGGTACAACTCCATGGTACAGCACTTGCCTGGTACGAATGGAATCTCAGGTTTTTTGGCAACCACTGCAAAAAAGAAAAGAATGGAACCGAAAAGAAAACAGAAGAGAAGAAACAAAGAAGAAAAGCTATTAATTAAAGATAGGTATTGAAAGTATTTCCATGTTATAGAAACTCAATGTACAATAGGAGATAATTCCAAGATCAAAGTAGCACACTATTAGTATCATCTCCTAAACCAAAGAGTGGAATATTATACAAAGCCATATAAATTAAATACTTAAGTGGGAAAATAATTCATAAGAGTGACAACATTTTAATTTTAGTCACAAAAATCACTTTTCAGTAATACACTCTTGTAGTAATATTCTTTTACTAAGTCAAACATATTTATTCAAAATATTAAAAGTTTAATCGTAATTCACACAAAGTAGCCATAGTGATTTAAAACTTTTTCATGTATACGAATTCAAGCAAAATTAAATGAATGAAGTATTTTAGGTTATAAATTTCCTATAATCCATTTCCTAAATTCTTCTAAATGTGGAATATTAACAAAAAATTAAACACAAATATAAATTGAACTGCAAATATACACTTCACCTTACAGTACACCCATGAGATGGGGAACACTAACAGTGAATCCTAACACTGACTGCTGACTTTGCTTGGTAATGATAGGCCAGTGTAAGTCATTGTCTATACCAAGTGTACTACTTTAGCGGAGGGCACTGCCTGTGGAGGGAGGCTACCCATGTGCAAGTGGCACGTGATCTAACAAAAATCTCTGGATCTTGCTTTCAATTTTGCTGCAAAATTAAACCTGATTTTAAAAAAAATCTTAGTGCAAAGGGTACAGCTCACTGATAGAGCACTTGCCTGGCATGGATGGAGCCTCCATTTTAATTGCAACCACTGCAAAAAAGAAGACAAAAGAAAAGAAAAGCATACAGGAGAAAAGAAAGAAACATAGGTTAAAATCTATTAAATGAAAATAGTTACTAAATCTACTAGTATCATGTTACAGAAGCTCAGTATACAAATTCACATAATTCCAAGATCAAAGCACCACAGTATAGGTACAATCTCCTAAAGCAAAGAATGGGAAAATATCCAGAAAAATATAAATGACACAACTAAGTGAAAATAATTGAGAAAAGTGACTTAACATATTAGTTCTAGACAAAAATTCACTTTTTAGTGATATAACCATATTATAATTTTCTTTCACTAAGTCTAACACATTTACTTAAAAAATTAAAACTTTAATGTTAGTGTGTATAAATCAGCCATACTGATTTAGAACTCTTTTTCATGTATGGGATTTCTGAAGTAAAAATTAAATAAATGGAGTATTTAGATCATTAATTTCCTATACTGAATTTCTTAAATACTTCTGAATTCTGCAGTATTAAGAAAAAATAAAGAATAAACATAGATGCAACAGTAAATATGCTACACATTTTAAAACAGCCATCTGATACAGAACACTAAAAGTGACACTTCGGATGGTAACGATGGACCCCTGTAAATCATAGTCTATAACAAGCATTCTAATGTAGTGGAGGCCTCTGGCCCCTGAGGAAAGCAACCCATGTGTGAGAGGCACATAATAAACCAGAAATTTTTGGATATCCTCTTAATTTTGCTGTGAACTAAAACCTGATATAAAAAACAAACTTCTTGGAGCAAAAGATACACCTGAGTGGAGGGGTACTTGCCTGGTGTTAAAGAAGTCTCAGATTCACTTGCAACCACTACAAATAAGACAACAGAAGAGATAAAGAAAAGAAACAAAGAGAAAACACTATTAATTGAACATAGTTACTGAATCTACCATTACCATGTTACAGAAACTCGGTATACAATTGGAGATAATTCCAAGATCAAAGTAGCAGTGATAGATATTATCTCCTGAACTGAGGACTAACAAATTATACAGATCCATATAAATGACATACTTAGGATGGAAAATAACTGATAAAAGTGACTTAGCATGCTATTTTTAGTCACAAAAATCACTTTTCAGTAATAAAATCATGGAGTAATATTCCTTTACTAAGTCTAATCCATTACTTAAAATATTAAAAGTTTACTCTAATGTTAGTGCACAGAAAGTAGCCACACTGGTTTAAAATTCTTTTTTGTGTTTAGAATTTTAGAAGTAAAAATTAAATAAATGGAATGTTTTAGATTAGGTCTTTCTTGTAATTCATTTCTTAAATAATTCTGAGTTCTGAATTATTAAAAAAATTAAGGAAATATAAATTTAATTGACAGTAATGTTTTAACTCCTCTGTGTTCAAAATTTTTTCTTACTCTTTTCCTTTTTTGTTGTTTTTGTCTTTTGTTTTTTGTTCTTTGAGACAGGGTCTCACTATGTAGTGCAGGATTGCCTTCAACACAAGAAGGTACTCCTGCCTCAGCCTCGCCAGTGCTGGGGTTACAGGTTTGTGCCTTCACACTCATCCTTTTGTCTTTGAAAATCAAGACAGGGCCACCAAGTGTAATTCACTGTGAGAAGTCTTACCTGCAGGGCTATTGTCAGAATTTGAAGATTCCTTTTTTTCACATTGAGAATTTTTTCTATGCAAAAAAAGTGATTTAAAATTGTTATAAAACATATTAAATTACTAAGCGTATTTCAGACAATGTTAGATCTAATATGAAAACTTTACTCCAATACTTCAAATCTGTCGTGTCTACAAAACTTTATTACACCTGTAATTAAGGAAGAAAAAACAGTAAGTAAAGTGAGGCAGGCATCAATCAAGAAAGGCAAGACAGCTCCAAGCATTAGCTGGATTAGCACAATTTAAGAGAAACTGTCTTGAAATCACAAGCTCCGGCTCGAAAACCAACAGCTGTTTCTTTTTGCATAAGTCATTTCCCTTAGACTCAAAGTCTTATAAACTGTAAGGACTTGGCTAATTTAGTTTACCAGAATCCCATGAAGGTTTGATGAGGTAACATAGAAACCTGCTCTCAGAAATAATAAAGTAAGGGGTGAGTAGTTCCTAAATGCTCACCTAATTTGGAATTCCAACTACAACCCAACGTGTGTATTTTCAGATTGTAGTATTCAAGTGCTGTAGTTACCAGAAAATAATGGGTCTTAATTTGGACTATGAGCTCTTCTCTTCTCTGTGGTTTATAATTCATGGCATATCAACTTTAAATAATTTATAACTAAGTCTATTTATAAATATCTCATTAAATTGGACAACATATTTGTCTTCTACTACTGAACTAGTTATGCCAATGGCAGAAAAGTAACAGATATCAAGACCTGGAATAAAACTTCAAGCAGAACACATAACTGTATCAGACAAACACGACCGGACAGGGAAAATCAAATAAGAATTAATACAATTGTGATGGAGCTGTTTAATTCCCCATTGTCACAAAGACATAAACCAAGTAGACAAAAATCAGCAAACAAATATCAGAACTGAATAAAACCTGTGAACAAGTGGACTTGGTAAGTGTTTACAACATTCCACCGAACAACATTAGGATACATGTTCTTCTCAGCTGCAAATGGGACATTCTCTAGACCATATACTGGCCCACAGAATATGCTTAAGTAAGTACTAAGGAACTGAACTTATCCCAGGCATATTTCCTGATGACATCCCAGTGAAACTGGAAATTAACACCAAAAGAAACCGCAAAAATTCCATAAACACATGGAAATAAATAACATACTCCTGAACAACCAATGGGTCACAGATGAAATTAAAAAAGAAATTGAACAATGTCTACAATTAAATGAAAATGCAGATACAACTTCCTGAAACCTTTGGAATGCAATGAAAGTAGTCCTATAGGAAATTTGTAATAGTGAAGTCTCACATCAGAAAAACAGAAAGAGCAAAAACTGGGACTTCCGGGAGAACATAGTGGACAGATAACAGCAGCTATGGAGGCTGCTTCTAAGACTTGGCTCAGAAGTCAGGAATGGTGCGGAGTAAGGAGAAATAAACCAGTGGAGATATGCTCTGCTGACCCAGGAACGAACTGGGCTGAGAGAAACCAACTTGGAATGCAGTCCTGGTGCTAGAACAGGAACAGAAAAGCCTCAGCCTGGAGGCTGGACCCCGCACCATTGGAAGCCGCAATTTGGGTTTTCCGCCACGCGGCGACTGCATCTGCATCAGCTCGGCAGGGAGAGAGACGTGCAGAAGTTCTGAGAACGGGAATTGGTGAACAGAGTTGAAAACAGGACGGACGGGAGCCATGCACTGACTTGTGGTGAGGTGAGTAAGAGAAACTGACACTCTATCACAGTTTGACTCCAGCGGAAAGCATTCTGGGACTGGGCAGATTTGCGGGAGCAGCGCGCTGTGGCGACTTCAGCCACATATGCCCCTCTCAGGCGGGATTGGTGAGAAGTGCCTAGCCTACGTGAGGCTGCTGGCCGAGACCCAGTAGGCTAGCACAACCCAGATCCCAGAGCCTGAGGGTGGCCTGGAGGGGTGGGCCCCGTGTAGGCTGCCTGGTCTGCAACTTCCTGGTGTGCTGTGGCGGGCGGGAACACCTAGCCGGCGCAATTCGATCAGGTTGTGGCTGACAGGGAGGGAAGCTGGGCCTCCTACATAAGCCTGCATATATAAGGAACAAAGAATATGGGAAGAGGGAGCAACAAGAAAGGCTCCTCGGCCCCTAATCCTGAGAAACAGGCAAGAGCGGACACCGCACCAATAGACATTAAGCGCCATCTAGAGAGCCTCATAGATCAGTTCAGGAATGAAGTTATTAATGACCTGAAGCTAGAAGTAAGCAGAATAGTTAGAGAAATGCTAAGCACCACCCAAGAAAAAACGGATGGTGGAATGGAAGAACAGAAAAAGAGGGGAGAATTGTTTGATGGAGAAAATAGAGAAAGCATAGAATATGTGAAGCAGGTTCAAAGGGACTACCAGGAAACTAAAGAGTCTATTGAAAACTGGCATAACAGCTTGAAAGAAACTAAGGACAGACTATCTGAACTGGAGGGCAGATTTGTAATATGGGAGCATGAAATGAAAAACTTCTTAAAAGTAACAAAGAAACAAACAGCAATAATACAAAGACTAGAAGATGATAAGACGATCCATAACTTAAGAATTAAGAACATAAAAGAAGAAGTAGGGACACAAACAAATGAACTACAAAAGCTACTCACAGAAATAATCCAGGAGAATTTTCCTAATTTAGCAAAAGGTAAAGATACTCAGATGTACAGGACCCCAGCCACCTACAACCCAAACAGAACAACACCCAGGCATATAATAATAAAAATTCCAGAAATTCAATACAAGAACAGAATATTAAAAGCTGTCAGAGACAAGAAACAGACCACTTACAAGGGAACACCCATCAGAATTACAGCAGATTTCTCTGTACAAACCATCAAATCATGAAGACTGTGGGGGGAAATAATTGAAGCTTTGAAAGATAATAATCTCCAGCCAAGATTGAGATATCCTGCACAACTGTCCCTGGAAATTGATGGAAAAACAAGGTGCTTCCAGGATAAAGAGGAACCAGGGGAATTTGCAACCACCAATTCAACTCTACAGAGAATACTGCAAGATATTCTAAAAAAGAAAAATACAAAAAATCCAGAAGTAGCAGCAGAGAGGCCACAATGAATGGAGCAGAAAACAAAATGAAGAAGACAAACTGACAACTAATGACAGAAAAAGAACTCAACAGAAATGCGGCAGAGAAGATTGGATGATAGGAACAGCTATTTTGGAGAAAATGATGTCTTAATAGGTAATACTGATTTAGTATCATCTAGTTTTGAAGTCTCATCAAGCTTTTGTTCTTCTGTCTCCATTGGTCTAAACAGGTTGGATCTTGTTGGATTTTATTATGTATGATAGTATAAGTAAAAACTTTTAAAGACAAGGAGATTATACAGAAAACATTGTTCATTTTCTGTTAGTTGATTCTAAATACCCTGTAATGCAGTCATTCTCTTAAATGGTTTTACATTCTTTTGATATATTTAATGCTACAGTATACGAAGTTGTACTCAAGGATTTCAAGGAAAGAGACAATATGGTAACTACTTTTATGTCAGGATTATCTGATGGTGAAACAATATTCTGCTTAAATGGTTATGTTTTGATCTGTGCTGTTTTGCTGTTATGCCCTTTTTTATCTCAATCTCCACTCCATTATTTACTTTTTAATTTTTATCCTTTTAATTAAGGAAAACATAAATAAAAATAGCAGGATATATTATAGTAACCCACTTTGACTTTCCATTATCTTGATTTAAAGCCCTGTATTACTCTCACCATCTTGTTTTTGACTGATGTCCCCCTATTGTGTTTTGCTGGATAGTACCAGGTTCGAAAGTTTAGGCAACAGCTGTGAAGATAGTGAGATTCATTATGTCGCCCATTCTCGATGATTTTTATCTACTTTTGAAGACCTACAATGTCTCCAATGTTTTGGTTTTGTCGGTTTTATTCTTTACTGTTTTGTTCAATTTTATTATAACTGATGATATAGGCAATTCTATTAGAGATAGCGGGAGGCATTATGGTAACCATTGTTGATCACCTTGTATTATGTTTTTACATTATCTATTATGTCCACCCTTTTGATTTGACTGACTCTGCTCTGTTATATCTCATTTGGTTTCACTCTCTTCCAAAAAAGTAATGACATCCATGGGAGCAATAAAACCCAAAATGTGTAATAGTCATTGTACAAAAGAGAGGAAAAGAAAGTGCTCTGAATAATATAACTGCATGTATATTTAAGTGTATATGATAGAAAATGATATCACTGAGTTTTATTGGATCATTGAACAGAACTGTTTGCAGTATCATTGTTGGAATGTCCACTTTACAAGCTTTAATTTTGTCACTTGAACAATTATCTCTAAGATGACAATATGTAATCCATTAACTAGTGATGTCCTACTGTGTATTTTTTTCTGTAAATCTGTATAACTTATACCCTTTCTCTGCTTTTTTTTCTCCTTAAATAAAATTTAAAAGAAAAAAAAAGAGCAAAAACTTTATGTTGCATCTCAAGTTTATAGGTAAAGAGGCAGAAGGCAAGACTAAAACCCATATAAAGGAGGAAGTTATAAAGATCAGAGCAGAAATTAATGCAACTGACACTAAGAAGATAATACGGAGAACTAATGAAGTGAAGAGTTAGTTCTTTTAAAGACCTGGAATGGACTAATATTCTTCCTCTACACAACAAAACTCTGAGTGTGATTCTAACAAAGATTGGCTGGTTTAATTTCTGTCTGTCTCCAACTGACATGGAAGGCAAAACCCTCTTGTGTGCAGGACATATTGCATCATGCTGGGCTTAGTTTTCTTTATTATGAATTCAGAGAGTTTCATTTAATTGCTTCTGTATGAGACAAAAATCTGTAAATATTCTAGAGTCCTTATTCCAAGACAAAAATAGATTTTCAGTAGTAAACAATTTCAGAGGCCAAACAGAAGTTGTTGCCAATTCAAGGCTTAATTCGGGACCTTTTACAACTTATGTAATGGTGCTACTTGGTATAAAGAGACTTCTCGGTAAAGACCTGGTGACAAAGAAAAAACAAACATTGATCT